TTTCTCCCATTCCTTCTAAAGTCGTACGGAAATGGAAATTATTCCCAGCTTCATCTACCTACATTTTTTCTTAAAAGGTGGATGAATTTTCATAGGCAACTTTACAAATGTCAGTATGCTTACATGATGTTTATAGTAGCAAATGAGAAGTTGTAAGTTAAGATTTTTCTGCTACTACTGGACAGAAATTTGTGAATCGATTGTTGGGGATAAGGGTTGTCACTGGTGAATGGTCATATCTTCACAAACACACGTCAATTATTTCAGCGAGTTCGTTTGGTCAAAACTGTTTGTCTGGGAAGGGCAGAATCTATGCTGGGAGGAGACTCTTCCTGACCTAACTGGGCAATAGCCTCATGGCTGGGGCCTCCCTTAGGACATGGAAAACCTAGGCGGAAGCTCCTTAATTCAGATCAGAGATGTTAAAAATTTGAATTTATTTCCCAAATCCCATCTGTATGTTTGCCTCTCTCTTCATCCTTTTCCAAAGTCTTGCTTTTGTTCCAGCATAGAACAAAAATCCAGAAATACCAAATTCATTTTTTTTCAAAATGGGATTCTTGTTTACCAGCCTACCCTATTCTTAACTACAATAGACATTTGAAAGGAAGCCCAGTGAAATGGAGTAGATTGTGCAGTCATGTTGAGATCGTAGCATCTTTGTGATGCCATTCAGGTAATTAAAGAAAACACATCTGACATTTTCGTGTGCGTAGCAGGGACTGGGCAGAGGAGAGAGGCAAATGAAAAAGAAGAGCAGAAAGCTTCCTACAGTTCTCTACATGCTTGTGATGAGTTTCAAGCATTAAACTATCAATATGAAAATGGGTCATTCTGAGGTTAACGGAGGCAATTGCCAAGAGATGTTTAGCAGGCCACATGACATTATTTTAGCAAAGAAGGCAGCTGCACAAGGCATTATTCTGGTTGGATGCTAAATTAGTAGGGCCAGTTTGGGGGCTAGAATTTGTCTTGGATGGTGGTAGGTTACCTAGGAAACAAGGATTAAACTTTCCCCCAAAAAATCTTAATTGAGGAGAGGAGCTTATATTTTTAGGAAGAGTGTTTAGCTTTGTGTTGTATACATACTTACACATGCGTGTATGCATGCCTGACTTCAGTATCTGAAAAAAAATCAAATAAACGCTGTCTTTCTGTGGTGTCTTCCCAATAGAGGAGATAGGGTCTTGGCTATGTCAAGCTCAGAGAAGGCTGGAGAAGAGAGAGATCATTTATCTTTAGGCAAGCTACTGACTATTCAGCGTTTTCCCCAGAGATCTGCAGTTCAAAAGGGGGGGTGAAATATTGCCTGACAGTTACCTTCCGAGTTTCTAGGAGTAACTAGCTGTGTTATACATGCAACCTGGCATTGTGACCTCTGGCATGGTGGTGTGGGAGGCAGCCTGCATCTGGGCTAATGCACAGCTTGGTTTTGTAATGTTGAGAACTTCTATTCACCTCTTTAATTGCAGTCTTTGAATGAGAAGGAGTATGATAAGTGCATACTGTTTCTTATAGATTGTAGTAGTCGATGTCTTCCAAGACTTAGACATCAAAGAAAGTTTCAGTACTATTAAACTCTTTTCATGGAGAGTTGATAAATCCAAGAATGTGGAGCCAAGGCTGCCTGCTCTGCAGTCCTTAACTCCATGTTAGCCTTGTGTCTGGAGGCCTTTGTGTACTGCCTGGTAGGGCTGTGGGTGATGGCTTAGAAAAACCGCGCTGAGGATAGTGTAAAGTATTGTTAAAACAACTGTAAAAATAGTAGCTTGGTACCGCAGGTTCTTCTTGCTGTGACACTCTCATCATCCCTGCTTAGCTTGCTGTCAGAAGTCTCTTTTATAGTGAACATAGGAAGGCGTGTCTAGCCAAAAGCAGAGTGAGCATAGCCCTAGTCATCATTAGCACATCTGGGAGCAGAGGCCTTACTTCAGGGCTGTGCTTGCCTGGGAAGGTTTGGGGGATTTATTTCTTGAGTTTGACTTGCGTTGGGCTTTTTGACACTCTTGGCATAGGAGGCGAGCAGAATGGGGAGTATTTGTAATGAAAGCATTGGCTGCTCAGAGTCATCAAAACTCTACTGGGATGCTCCCTGGGCTTCCCGTTTCGCTCCCGTGCTCCACCTCGAGAGGAGGACTTCCTCCTCAAGTCTGTGCTCTCTCTGTCGCATGTGCTTTCTAAAGCTGTTTATGGTGCTTTCACTCCACCTTTCAAATACATTGCTGATTTTCCATAGTGCTAATTCCTTTGGGCCACAGCTGCCTCATTCCAGTGGCTTTCCTGGCCCCATGATCTGCCTTGTTATTAGTCTGTTCTCCTTCAGCAGTCATCTTGTAAGCCGGCTAATAGCTGCTTTCACCGGCTGCTGAGACAATCTCACGGAGACAGTGACTAAGAGCGGTCAATACATTGGAATAGGAGGAGAGACTTCTTCTGTACTGAAACGGCAAAAGTAGCCGTAACACAGCAGGCAGTAGAACTGTCTGGAGAACTCTTTAAGAAGTGTCCATGCTCTGGAAGAGACTAGCCCTGAGTACACTTCTGCGGGCCTTTTTTTTGGGGGGGAGGACGGGGTGGGGAGCAGAGAAAGAGTTTACTTCTGGCACACCCAAAATTGGTGCCACTCGATCTGCAGTAATGCACAGAGATGGCTGGGCTGAGCTGTACTGTGCCATGTGGATTTCCCAGCTCAGCTGGCATTTGCCAACAGGCTCTGAGCCCAACAGTTGGAGACTCGTTCACAGATACCACGCTTACTAGAACTTTCTCTTTATTAGAATGAAAAAACTTTGTTCTCCCCTGCTTGCTTTGATGATTTAGCTTTCTTTTTAATGCTTTATAACATGAGCAGTTGTACTGTGAGGGAGAGGGTGTGTATGTGTATGCGAGCATATTTAGGTGTATATACAAACACACGCAAATTAAAACTTTGACAGAGTGTAGAGCAAGTGATGTAAACAATTCTGCATCCTTCTGTAAGACAATGGAAAATGTCAAAGGTGAGTTAAAGGTCAACCTAATTTTGTGGGTTATATAACTGCATTTTTCTCTAAAGTGTTTTTTTTTCTCTTTACTGTGAGGCTCCCATAAACTGAAGCTGTGTACAATGCAAATTACTCTTCAGATAGCACAGCAAAGGCTGGCAGCTGCACAGGAGGTGCCCAAGGTATGAATATTGTTGTTTAGGTTTTCTTTCTTATCCTGTGTGCTGTTAGCAGCAGGATTAAAACTTTCAGACTAAGTGTAACTTTTAAATTGCTGTTCTTTAAGGTTCACAAAATGGTCAATACAGCTGTTATTGCTTATTTTCTCTGGTTAATACCACTGTGCTACGTGCTATTCAAAAGTTTCCCTTAAACCAAAGGCTGTGAAATCAGGAAAGCAGCAAATTAATGGGAAAGGCAGGGTGTTAGGAAATTGAGTGTGGATTGTTTTACTTTTTTATATATACCAGTGCATTCATGTGTGATTTTTTAAAACTAGTTGTAACTAACATGTCTCTTAACCTTACAATGACTAATTCCCTTTAGTGAGGAGGTAGAGTGGACCTCACAGGACCCGAAGTGTGGAGGCAGAGCAGTTGCTGGTGCTTGGAGGGATGTTGTGCTGGAGGACAGGATGGAAGATGAGTGAGAAGCCCTCGGGGGGGGGACAGTGCTGGAAAAAATTTCATCCCACTTATGGATAATAACCCTGATGGTGGGGAAGAAACGTGAACTTGATGTGACAAAACAGAGATGCAGCATAAGAGATTTTAGAAGCTGGTGACACCACATAAAATGAGGCAAAGAAAACCAAGGCAAGTACTTGCCTTCAAACTAGAGGAGTTGACTGAGGGAGACAAGGGTAGTGTTGATGTAGAGGAGGTTTCACCAGACTTGAGCTTCTAATCTCAGGTGTTCAACAGTCCTCTACCAAGTACCAAAACCCTCCAGTGAGCTTTTCAAAACAAAGGTTCTTTGTATGAATCTTCAAGGTTTATTTGGGTCAGGCTTTCAGCCTGTTTCTCTGCAATTAAGATTCGACGTTTTTCCCCTTCACATGAAAATCTACTGCTTACTTTTCATTAACTAAAGAACATTGTGCTGGTGCTTTAAGGAGAGTCAAGGATTGACTCTTTTGGAACTCTGTCTAGATGTGGCCAAGGAAAGGCACTGTATGGGCCAAAGGATGTCAAAAATTAGAATAGGCAGGGGTGAGTGATATTTTCAGAAGGTTCAAGACCCTCTGGAATATTTTGCTCCCATCTTAGACATGCTAGAGAGGAAGAAGTGACAGCGTTTGGGTGCTACCCAGTGTGGAGGCCAGAGGACAGTAGCCTGTAGATGGGAGTGTTGTAAGGTAAAGGCACATGGAGAGATGCTCATATACTGTGGTGACAGGGCTGTGCAGATACTTAAAAGTACACAGAGATGCAGAAATTCCTGGGTCACAGGCCTGAAGGAGTGGAGAGGGAGAACGGTGATATTAGCGTCTTCATAGAGACTAGGCAAGATGGTAGATTCCTTAATTTTTTTTCAAAAGGAGAGTGGTTTGGATCAGAGCCAGAAGTTTTTGGTGCTAAGCTCTTATTTCTTCTCTTTTGTACCATGAGTGAAACTTTACAAGTTCTGAAAAGTGCCAGTGACTGTAAAGAAAATGCAGGCTTCAGACAGCATTTTGCAGGTTTCTATTGCTTCTTAAAACAGGAAAAAAAAAAACCCTAAATGTATCAGTTCTCACTGTCTCTAATGTTGCTTCCTTCTTTCTGGAAGGAAAGAAGAAAATTCCTGGCTGGGTATTTGATGAGAGTGAGAGAAGTTATGGATCACCTGGTAACAGCCATGGAGAGCCTTACTGCTCTTGTCAGCCCAGTTGTTTCCTGGGTGCCCTGTGGAGTACAGAGGAATTTCAGAACAGAGGACTGGACAAGCCTACCTGCTGGCTAGGAACTGCTCAGAATTAGCAAGGTGGGGAGTGCTAGCCAGCGTGCTTCTCTGTGATCCTGTGGCTGTCTTGAGATGAGGCATCGGAAATCAGGATTGCCAGGGAGACAGATGATGCCTGAGGATTTGCCACAGCTGGAGTGCTGCAAATGTGAAAGTCTCCTTTCAGAATCCACTGCCCAGACCCCACCTCCTGTGGCAGGTACCTCCCACGTCCTCTTCAGAGGATGTGGCACAATTTCTTTAAGATGCTACTGCTGAATGCAGTGCCTGTGCATAGCTTGGAGCACTCACTCAAGATGGGAGCGGTTGAGTGCATTTCTCTCGTCAGCCTGGGGATACAAGTCTGCATCTTCCAACTGTTTCCCTTGTTGCCAGGCAGGGAGGAGGAGGGGCGTTGTATTTGCCTGCTGCTCAGAGCTTAACCGCTTTTACAGAAGAGACCACAAGTTTCTTGGGACAAGCAATAGAGCAAGTGAGGAGCAGCCTGCGACACTAGCTCCGTGGTTAAGACCCGCAGGCAGGGCAGAGAGCTGTAGGTTCCAGCTCCTGCATCCTTGAACTGCCTGTACATCTTACAGTAAACAGACCGTGGATAATAACCTGAAATTATTCCCAGCCACGACTGCATTTTGTAGCTGTTCCAGGTTGGCTGAATTACTGTTATCAGGCTCTTTCACGGCATCTAAGCCCTGAGGTTTTGAATTCCAGTGTTATCAAGAGAGGTGTTGGACATCTGACTGGTCGGGCTGGAGTCCTCTGATCGTGTGCAGAAGTAGGCTGTGACGGGAACAGTCAGCTCAGGTGGGCAGGCACTGTGTTGCAGAGTGAGTTAGTGGAAACTGGAGGTTTTGCGAACAGCAGGCTCCCAAAGCACAAGACTTAGCTGTAACCGAGGCATCGCTTCAGAAGGGCACTTAGGGGTAGAGAGTGTCCAGCATGCTCTTAGAATGAGGTATTGAGCAGTGTTTTTCATACAGGAGGTCAAGGGATTGATTATGGGAAAAAAATTTGGGTGAACGGCTATGAACTGATGGTGTTTATAAGGAGCGGGAGAGAGCACAGTAAAATAAAACCAGTATCCTTCACAAAAAGGGAAGAGTTCATTTCCTTGGTGAAGCTGTACAAAGGGCTCAAATGCAAACTCGCCCACCTTGCACAGACAGGGAAAGAATATTGCAAGCTCTTCATTGGCCTCAAATGGGAGAAAGAACCACACAAGAAGCAAGAACTGGGTCAAATGACTGAAGCCAAGTGTGAGTGAATGTAGCACAAGGACGTAGGCACAGAATTAGAAAGGTTAAGGCACAAAGTGAGATGCAACTAGCAAGAGACATTGAGAGCTACAGTAAATAATTTTTAGGATGTCAAAGTCTTTGCTTGGCTTTACCAAAGGGAACTAACAGGGTAGCTGACTTGGTATAAAATGCTTCTTGACTGAAAATAACGTAACTAGACCTCTCTGTCATCCTTAAGTGAAAGTTTAAGCTGTGGACTCCTCTTTGTGTCACTTGGCCTGTATCCCGCATCAGAATCTTGAATTTTCTGCTTGCCTTTTGGCCTGACTAGTGCTAACCATGGTTATTGGCAGTGCTGTCTCTGCCTGCTTTACAACATTTCACCTATCTGACATGCAATGTGCCTCCCAGAAGAGGTCTTTTAATCTCATCTTCATCTTCAAGCTGTGTAGACTTTTCTCCAGTCAGTGCACAAAGAACCTACTGAGCTGCTCCTACCCCCAGCATCGACAGGATTTTCCAGCCTAAGTCTCTCATCTGTCAGTGGATTAATGTTTAAAATGCAACTGCCTGAGCGGATTAAAGAGCTCAGGCGTGGGTAATAGGATATAGTACCTTTCACTGCAGTAATGCTAGTTCAGATCAGTTCAGGATGTTAGTGACTGGGAGTCACCATTTGAACTGCATCAACTGACTACGGTCACAAACTCATGTCATGAATTTCTCTCTGGGCAGGATGGGGCCAATGGAGCGAGCTGTGCAAGCATTGGCTTCCCATCTCAGGGAATAGACAGATATGCATCCAGATTTAACTTGGACAGATTTTAAGATGTTTTACAGGAATAAATTGTGGTGCAGTGGGATTCCTTGTCTTGTCCTTTTAAAGAAAAGGGATGATGTTTTCGGGGTGGGGGGAAGGGCAAAAATCACAATGTCGTCCATATTATTCACAGTTTTCTTCAAACATGAATAATGTTTGCAATGGTATTTATAACTTTGTTCAGTTCTGCACCTCGGATGACATGGCCCAGGGCACTGATTGGTGTCCTCTGGCGATCTTCTTGGGACAGTTGTGGCTACCTCTGCTTACCTCTGCTTCTCCCCTCTGCTGCAGGTTGCTCTGTGTGGAGGGGGATGGGACAGGTCTGCACACACATGTGCACACATGTGGATTTTGTTCTGGTTTTAAAACTCCTCTTTTTAAATTTTTTTTTTCTTTTTAAGGGACAGTTCCCATTTGGTTTTAAGCATTTAAAAGCCCTTTTTGCACATATTTGTCACAGTACTCAGCACGACCAACATTTTTTTTTCTTAGAAAGTATAGAGCTCATATTACAGAGCTAATGTGTTTGGACCCCCTTGAGAAGGGAGCCACTTGGAAAAACTAGTCACAGTTTATTTCCAAACCTTGAAGTGATGGATATGTGATTTTTCTTCCCTGTGAATTTTTGAAAGTATTTGTCAGAGAGGATAAGCTTCAGCCTTGGTTAAAAAGAAGCAATCATGTGGCAAAACAGCTTAGCAGTTCATGTAAGGGCCAGAGAAACTATAACCCATCGGAAAGGTCGGGTATGCTGTTCTCTACCTTTTTTTTTTTTTTTCTTTTTACTTCTTCCTGGAAGTAGTTGGTAATGGAGAGTTTGGTGATGTGGTAGTGTCCTAAAATAGACTTCTGCCTTTGGAAAATACGTCTGTTGAGTAGAGCAATTAGTGATTATGTATGTATTGGGTTGTTTTTAAGATAACTCAAGATGTTTTTCTGTAAGGCTATTACCAAGGTTATAATTGTTCTTATCTCATTTTGTTTGTCTTTCTTTATTATGTATTGGGTTGTTTTTAAGATAATTCAGATGTTTTTCTGTAAGGCTATTACCAAGGTTATAATTGTTCTTATCTCATTTTGTTTGTCTTTCTTTCAGGAAAACATTACCAAGCAACATTTATAGCAGAAACTAGAACTTACTCATCACCTAGTATAGTGAAATGGAGATTATATAGCATCAGGATAGTTTTAAGCAAAACAATCTCAGTCTTTTTCCTTTGCTGGTAATTAACTCTCCTGCTTCAGCTGAAGTCCTGTTTCACACGGTAGTTTTCTCATCTGTGTATGTTATTATAATAGAAATAATACTTAAGGTTTTCAGACAAAAGATGATGAGTAAATTATCATCATTACCAGATCTCTTGGCTGCCTAATACTAGGTTCAGGGATGTTAGTAGTTACGTGAATGGAAATGGACCTCAGTGCAGTGGTACTGAATACACACACGAATGGCTGGCGTAGCAGGAGGTAACTGTGTGTTCAAGTGGTTGCGTGCACCCATGGATTTTGTAGCTGGCCTCATGGTAGCTGTGTGAACATTGATTTTTTTTCTTCCATGAACTTCCAAAAATTCCACAGCCCCGTGTAGATTTAGTTCTTTCATTTCCATTATGAAAATGAACTGGGGGAAATAAGGAATTGATGTACAGGGATGGGTATTTTAAACCAGATCCTTGAGCATGTGGAAGAAGGCAGGAGGAGAAACAGTGTATGCAGGGCAGCCCTGACAGCTGGTGGGAGGGTTTGATGAGTGAGGGGGCCAAGGGTCTTGCATGCCCAAGGCAGGATGGCAACCAGATCCAAACTAACGCTGTCGAGTCCAGGATTCAAAGTGTAACGTATATAGCTATCTTGAAAGCCAAGAGGGTCTCTTCTAGGGCTGGAACT